GTATCAGCCTCTCCCTTCTTCAGGGTTTGCCACAGTGAGCAGATGCACATGAAGATTTGACGATTGTTTTACACCTGATGCTCTTCATGACACAACCACTGACTAATAAAATACGAAGGCGGTTACGTCAGTGAAACAACAGAAGKTGTGGTTATTATAAGATGTTTAGTAATATAACAGCACTACTCCAGAAATAACCCTGCATTTGAATTCATAATTGGTTCCTAACTTTTAGGAAACAAATATTCAGAGAAAGAAGAAAAGTTCACGTTAAAATATTAAAACTTAGTTAAATCTAACGCCACTTTCTGAAGAAAATATGTAGATTTTGCTCTTGTTTAAACTGAATGCATTCTAAACTAAATGTACAAGTACTGAACCAAAACATAAAAATAAAAAATCAACTTTGAACATGAATGCATTCATCTCCAGCAGAAATATAGGACACAGCAGCCACACCTGGCAGCGCAGCCTGAATAAATCTGCTTTAACAACCAGTTTGACAACATTCCAGATTTCAGTAGAACCAGTTCTTCTATAATATTGTTATGAAAACATTTATTTAGCCRTTATTTAAACAGTTGCCCTAACATCTAAATAGAAATTATTACTGTGAGCAGCATTGAGTTTAGTGATAAGTCACATAAAACTAAAAAAACAAATAAAATAAAATAACTATGAGCTGTAGCCTGGGCACAGACACAAAGACGCAGATAATTTGGTTGTTTTTAAATCAGTTGTTGCTTTTGAATTATGGTTCAACAGAATTATTTTAAAAGACAAACTAATGAAACTGGTCCTGACAAAAAGGATGATGCTCTTAACTGAATATATTGCTGCACAACCTGAGTCAATCACTGCAACCTATAATTACCTGTCCACAGGTACTTTGATCCCCTCCTCATGTTCAAAGCTTTGAAGGGTTTCTTTGTCCAGATGTTGTAGCTCCATCTACAGATGTTCAGGTGTCCTTTTCTTTGTTGTTTGGGTCTGTGAACACAGAGCTGATGGGATTTGTTGAAGTATGGCACCATCTCCAGGCCAATCTTCAACAGTCAGCTACATGAAAAAATAAAAGTCAATATTWATAACCAAGGTTCTACACACATCCAGAAAAATGTGACAGTTTATTGAAAGTATATTATTAATAATGATTTATGTTACATCATAAAATGCTGAATGTTATTGAGATGTTGGTGATTTTTGGGTTGAGCTAAATTTGGCTTAAAGTAAAATTTTGTAATTATATCATATTTAGGTAAATCATGACATTTTTCTAGTTTATCATAAAACAATTCAAATACAAAATAATACACAAACAGTGTTTGTTCCTTTATTTACATAATTCTTCCCTGTTACATGAATAGAATATACTTTTGTAAGAC